TTTGTTGGCGTAATCTGGGAGATTGGAGCACATGCAGCCACCGTCTGTCGACGAAGCACGTTTGCTGACCCTTGATTTGTAAGAAAATGACTTGGCCCTTTTCTTGGTTCTGTGCAGACATTTTGAAGTTTTGTTCCCTCCAAACCACGGTTTATAATAGTCTAGCCTCATTCTGGATAGCGGCCACATACGTTTCATTTCAATCCAGACATTGACCATCCAGTGCATGCAATTAGGAGGTTATCTAGAAAATACCTACCTATTTGAATTTGTTTGTGATGTTCTGACTATTCCGGTCTCTCAGCAGGTTCTCCATCGGTTTTTATACGGTTTTTATACAGTGAGGAATAGGTATAACGGACTGAAATGGACACAGTTTTTTGCTACTTTTGGTCATTAGACTTGGAGTCGACTGGTCAGTGACTGCCTCACAAAGAATAAACGTCAACGGAAGGTATGTAGACCCAAAATTCCGTGAACCAAAAGTGCGGAATTTTTTGCCTAAGCAGGATTCTTCGATCGTCAAGCGTGCTATCCTCGAGCCCAAAGCTCTTCACGAATTCGCAAGAAAACTAAAAATAAATGAATTGCTGTTGCTATGCTAATTTTATCGTCGGAGAAGACTTGTGAAATGACAATATGTCGCACCTATCCACAGTCTATTCCGAATAAGTTCGACGTGATAACTTTAAAAACCTCGTCTTTCGGACTATTTTTTATCAGTATTTATTCATCTCACAACTTCATCCGTGCTTCTCCTGACCTGCGATACCCATGTCTTTCCGAGTGTTCCAGGACTCAGTGACAGAAAGCTGCCAAGCATTTGAAACGATGTAGGTCTCGAACAATTGCACTACTTCGTATAACTAAGACTAATTAATTAATTAATTAATCAATTAATTAATTATGTTATTCCTTGTTTTTGTTTCCAAAAACGCAACCCTAGTGAGCTCGTATGGTCAATTTCTTTCACACAGACTGCCCACAGTTGAATAGACGGACTTTTTCCCCGTGATTTCAAGTTAACAAAAGGTTAGATAATACCGGTTCGCCAACGGAGGAACTGCCAGCAGTTTCTCTATTTCTGCCATGGCCAGACATTTATGTATAACTATAGTCGCAATCATTACTGCGATTATCAATAATACTAGCTGGCATCATCATGGTCATTGTCGTCACGATAAATCCGGAAAAATAAAGCTTCAGCCTCCACAGTAAATTTCGCCGGTGTCGGCCGCTTTTCATCCAAAAGGCAATGGTTCGGTTTATGTCGTCCCTCTTGTGTTTGCTCCGATTTTTCGAGTCATGGTTTCCACTTTATGGTGTCAAGTGTTCTGGGGATTCTGTTTTGCGTTATAAGCAGCCGGCAATCTTATGCTTGGGCGTTTTTGCAAATCTCCGTACATAAAGCGGACGTCCCACTCAAACGAATCACCCCATGGATCACTCATCTCTTACCTGGTGTTACTAACGGTTGATTTCAATACCATAACTACGCGCTTATATATAGCTTTAGTGAAGTGGTTGAAGCTGTGCCCGATATAAAGCAGGCTTTCTAATTTAGAACCAAATGGTATGAAAGTAATAAAATATTGCTCTACATGGTTTGAATTTGGGAAACGTTCGTTTTTGGAACCTATAAACCAGCAGCTATTAAGCCAACAAGCGAGTTGAAGCAGTCGCCAGGAGGCGGAGTACATCTCAGGGTGAATTAGGTCTCATTTAAAATGCAACGTAAACCAAAAAAATCAACTTGCCCCGTTGGTACGTTTTGCCGAGTTGCACTTCAAGGTAGATGTTTTTGGGTAACCTCGTCGATTTTGAAAGTAGCTGTCATCAAATTCCAACCATTTTTTCCCAAAAAAAAACAAATAAGTGTGCACTGAAAATATCATTTCCAATTTCCTGATTTCGACAAGCCCAAAATGTTTAGATGAACTATCTGCTGGACTCAGTATTAATTTGTCCCTTGACGATTAGAATTTACGAAGAAAATTTTGAGTCATCTACTATCACCAACAGGTAGATGGAACTCTCGTAAGGGCCAGCTTGTGGGAAAATATGAACAGTTTCCATTGAAATATTGCTGGAAGAAAACTAATAACTCTGTTCATTTTGGCATCCTTCTTAAACAAGACCAATGGAGCTGTTAAACATCGCACCCACCGAAGACTGATGGGGTCAAATCGGTAGTCGCATTTGCCTGCTTTCATTCTGATGAAACGCAGTAATTTTGGAAGGTTCAAGTTTGCGATGAGTTCATGGAAGCTGGAAGCATTGTTCACCGAATGGACGAGCAGACAACCTATACTGCCCTCACCTATCTGTTTTCACCAGCTATGGCCTCTCACATACTTTTCGATTTGATTACGAATACGTTTTGTTTTGGTCTGTTGTCTGATTTTCCTTGAGGTATTAAAGATGGTGGTTTAGAGATAGCCTGTGGACGAATATTCTTGCTTCAGTTTTAACTGTCTCTCTTATAGCAGGACCTTACCGTTCCGCACTGGTGAGACGTCATCTAGGTTGCCTGTTACCACGCATGGTCTCGTCGGATGATAAAATGGATTGTATGAATGCATCATATGACGACTTCAGAACGTGTATCCACAGAATTGACGTTAGTGACAGCAGACCGGTAGGAGTGTGGATATCCCCCACTTTTCACTAGGAGACAGGCTAACAGGAGCCAAACTTTTGTCTGAACGAAATCCACCTTTCTTAACTTACTGAAAATTGACCGAAGCATAACCGACATGTTCCAAAACACTTGGTTTGTGGGTTTCTTTACTCAAGGGTACATGCCTTTTTAAACCAACTCACTGACCTATCTGATTTACAATTTCCGGTTTTGTGAGATACAGGGGCGTCTTCCAGATTCGGCCCCAACAGTGGTCGAACAGTACGAAATCTATACCTTTATACATATGCATATATATATATATATATTACGGGGTTTGAAGTGCAGCGTAAATTTCATTTATCTTGAAAGACCTTAAGTAAGATAACGCCTGAACTCGGATGTGTGTCAGGTAATAATTTAGGATCCCATAAGCTTGGACCGAAATACACCCTTGACATTTGCGCTTAGTCTTCACCAAGTAAGCTGATCGTGTACAAAGTCAGCCAGAGTATGCACTGCATGATCCTCAGGGAACAGCCCCGAAGCGAAGCCACACCACTGCAAGATGTCGGCCAGGATTTTTTTCCGGACGGAGGACATAAATCTGTGGGACACTAGATTTTTTCATTGAGATCCTTTCTGGTGTGCGATCGCCGTATAGGGTTCCATGATTATGACCGCTAAATACTAGCTGACATAGTTTATCGTTCATTGAGGCTAACCATTAGACATTTTATGATGATGTCACACTACCAACTGTTAAATGCTGTGAAAATTCATCCTGGATGTGTAAAATCTGGCCCTTTGGAACAAGGTCGAGTGGAGTTTATTGAATGACCATGTCACGGACAAGTACTGTCTCTTTCTCAGAAAGAAATTCAAATACGTGACCAAAAGTTTGACCAAAAGGTTCGTAGAATACAATTCACCTTAGATATTTCTTGTTTTCACGATCATCAGAATGTAACGAAGCTATTTTTTTTTACAAACAATGCTTTTGCGGGGAGTGCAGAAAATGTGAAATATTGTAGATCTTTAGCTCTGATAGGAAGAAAAATCCACAGTTTCACTGACTGCTTCTATTTTCCAGGTAAAGAGCTGATGTAGGCAGAGTAGATGGAAGGTTCAGAACGACTCGTTCCTTTTAAATGGAATGTGGAACTTTGGGAGGTTGGTTGAAAAAATATTATGTTCGATGCATCCACCCGAACCGACAGAATGCATTGAAGAATTGTCACAGCCAAAACGTGAGGAACCTGCATTGCGTATCTTGTATCGACAGGGAATCTGTGTCTCTTGTATCTTATTCCCACACAGTGTTCTCCCTGGTGAGAAAACATCTTTCAGTAACACCAAAGTACCCCTCAGTTAAACTGTTTCCCTTGGTAGAGCTGACACAATCAGAATTGTATAGGAGGAATTTCTGTTCGGGTTTGGCACACAGCCTCCGTGTGTATCGAAATCCATTCCCTTTCCTCCAAATGCCCACAGGCTTTTTCAATTCTGCTGCATTAAAAAGTAACTAGGGACAAGTCATTTGCGTGTCAACTAAGTGAAATCTAATGAGGGCCAACAGAAGACATCGTCTGTCACAAGGATGTATTCCAGTGTAATAACATTAAAGAAATTGGGTACCGGAATCTGCTCTAACTTGTTTTTCAGCTAAATCGGAGTCACACTGCGCCTTCACCGTTTGTCTATCCTGCACTAAATTACTGCCCAGTTCAGATTACAGCATGACAGATCAAGCTGTGTTAGTGCAGTATGTCGATCAAACTTTGACATTAAACTTTCAGGAGTCACAAACCAGAAAAAGTATCCACTTTGATTCTGAGGTTCATCTCCTTGAAGAGGATTGCAGACAAAAAAATTTCCGTGCCACGCTACTGGTTCTAAAGACGACGATATTTATTTGTGAAGGCTGAATACTGTACCAGTGAGCATTCGAGCCCACTAGAACAGAGTGCAACATACACGCAAACCCCCAAACACCTCATTCGATTGTAAAGTGAAAGAAACTTAACCCCAGACAAAAGAACATTACTTCCTATTCTTTCCGCATCAAACCCAACAGAGTAACTAACTCAGTAAAACGACACCTGGGATGCTGACGCCTATCATTTTTGTCAACTTACATTAAAAAGACAATGTTTGTAAACGAGGGCCATGTACGTTCTCATGCTCTGACAGTATAAGCCAAACAGTGGAATGGCTTATTAACTCCAGAAAATTGACCGTAACGATCGGGTTTCACCATAAGTAGCACTATTGACCAGTGGACAACTTTGATGCGTTCCCAACTGACAGCTGTTTATGTGTTTAGATGTTATATTTAACAAAGACTTGATGTGAATCCTATTCTCTCCCTTCTTTACAGATCCCAAACGCCTGGAAACCCAAATACGTGTGTTCAAACGATGGCTTAATTGTTTACTGAAACAGGTGAGTAATGTTCTTAAATTTGTGCAACCGGTGAACGCCAACCCACGTACCCCTCCAAAAATAGTCTGACTGCTTCATTTGTTTTCAGTCTACTACTTGTCGCGCAGACAGAATGTTTTGTTCCGCATACCCTGCAGTAGTCAAGCGATAGGAAACTGGAGCAGGGGGAAGGTGTCCCACCGCAACCGAGGACTTATAACACGTATCTGCAAATAACCGAGGGTGTCTGTTCCTAGCCGAACACCCACTCATTGGAACAGATGCTTTTTTAAAGGCCTGGGTAGCAGCCGGTAACACGAGGAAGTCCTATTTGCTCGTCTGACAGAAAACATGTGGTGCCTTCCTAAAAGATTCTGACTGCTGCACAAGAAAATCGAATTTTGCGCCTGCGTGTATTTCGGTGCACTGCTACCTTACTTTAAACGCGACGAACCAGAAAAGCATACTTTCCAATCCTGTGGACGGAATGCGCACATAATGACACCATTCGTTTCTACGGATAGCAAATCCCAGTATTTTTCGGATAAGAAGACGAGCTGGACAGCCACTGTCGGAGAACCTGGGGGGGGGTGTGGGTTCACGTGACTCCGCTGGCTGACCTGCGTTCGGTCGAGTTTGGACGAGTGAACTTGATTTTTAAGAGTGATTTGTCCGTTTGTGTGCTACACACACGCTTGCACACTGAAAACCAAGTGTCAGGACGACGTGTTTTTTGGATGTGCTGACAGCATGAACCCTAAATATGCCTCCTATCTGCAAGCATTCTAGCCAGGTCACGTGTAATCAGTGGGTACTTCCACGGCTCTCAACAAAGATTATGAACATTTTCCCATAGAGAAACAGTAGACTATCAGTAGTTGATCTACTTTCTCTATTTGAAGTTGAGTTGCGTTCAACCGATCATGATGCGGGCACCAGCCTCGTACTGTAATGAAATCATGTGAATAAATAATACTCTCTAAACTAAGGAACAGTGCTCGCCCGCTCAAGGTGAGGAGCGAAATTTCACCAAGTGCGGGGTATCCCAGTGTTGTGTGTATATGCCTGAGAAAAGCTAAATCTTTTTTTTTTTTAACTTTCACTGCAAACGTAAGGAGACCAATTTTAAGAAAATTCTGGTGGATTTTGAAGTAATAAACTTAAAAACTCCAGAACATATGCTATTCTGTTCCAGTTGTTTAGTTACCTTTACATGCATTGTACTCCAAATACGGTACATGTGACCTCGTTGCTTCTGACAGCAAAGTGGGAGGGAAGTGCCAGCTTAACTACAATAATAAGGCTTCCAACGGGTGAACCTTTTCCTTGTGCTTGCTGTCAGGAAAAGTACCAGAGTTTGTCTCTGTGATCTATCACCTAAACAACTATAATAGGGTACCCTCGTTTGCATTCGTTTGTTTTAACAAACTGAGGCTTACGGGCAATGGTTTTCACCCAAGTTTTGTTCTACTTTGACTGAGATTCGAAACCTGGTTCAGTAAGACAGCTGGAACGCTGGAGACAAACCGTTGATGTAGGTAGGGAATGACAACGGCACAGAAGCGACTACAATAAGTCCTATTCGGAATGGTCAATAAGTACGCAATGGCGACCTGAAAACATACTTTGATCCTCTCTAATTTATGAGCTACTGGGATAAAAACGAGTAATTGTTCGGTGCAGAACATTGCCGAGCAACTGCGTGGTATTTATACCGTATTCATGATATGTTAAACAGTAAAACTTGACAAACCAAAAGACTGAAATACGCGAGAATGAATGTGAAAACCTCGATACAGACACCGTCTCCGTTTTCGTTTTCATGACGAAAACACTTCGGTTATTAAATGACCCTGCAGACGTGTGCGGATTGTCAATTTTAAGACTTGCAAGATTAAAATCTTGGTACGACATCTGAGGTCAACTTTTATGCAATGAGACTAGTGGCTAACCAAGCTAATGGAAAGAACTGAGCTCGTTCACCTGAATTCCTGATGAGCGATGGAATGTGACCAAATCAGTTCAGTCTCTGAAGGAAAATGGGCAAACGTCGTGTCGAGGGATGTTTGGAAGTTCCCAGCCCAGTGCCTCCAGTACTTGCTGAAGCCATCTGGCTTGTCGGTGAACAAACCACAACGTTACGTTAGTCTGGATATCAACTACATGAGTGCCGGTCCTTGGTTATTTGATAAACCGATCAGTTTATTCCTTATATTGCTGCGTCGGAAGAGAATAAGCCGAAGGGTACACACAGACTTGCTATTTTCCGTCGTGTGTAGCGGAAGTTGAACGAAAAAACCGGATGTATTCAAACAAGCAAACAGTGACACAGACGCCTCAAATCATCCATCGCCCTTGTGACAATTCCGAAATGCTTAGTCTCCTGTGCTGTTCGGCGTTTACCCAAAATGCGCACAATAATCTCCATAAACTGCGTAGCTTGCAGTTTGTATATAGGATTACAGTTAAGAAGTTCCGAGTTGTCGTATATTGTGTAGTGTTACTTTATATATATTACATTACATATATATTACATTTTGTGTATC